AAATTTAAAAACTTGTAGCAAATTGAAAACTCACTCAAAATTTCTCTTTATTCATATAACACCATCAAACAATCACAAATTTATTCTCACATACGCAGTTTAGTCTTGTAAGCCACACTTAAATAAACCGAACCATATACTTTACATATACACGCAATTAAAATTTGGATAATCGATATTGATATGTCCCAGAAAGGGATATATTTGTTCGAAGTATCAAAGTGGTTTTGGACTACTGTCACCGATTAGGACAATCTAGCAGGTAACCATAATGGACTGGTCCTCGTCGTAGTGGTAGGCAATAGGCAATATGCGTCGTCAATAGGTGAAGACAATAGGCGTAGTCCCTGTACCTCCACATCAGTTATGTATTTATGGCTGACACCAGCCAGTCATATTACTGTGAGGGGGAACCCAGGTGAATACATATTCATTACATCATATATATATATATATATATATATATATATATATATATATATATATATATATATCAGAGGGGAGAAAAGAACAAATGGAGTAAAAATCCACAGTTCACAGCATTTACTTTTAAAATGTGCTCAATACACTTTTGTGTAGCGGTTTAAAAATATTCTTATTATAATGTTTTCATTTCACCCTAAGAAAAGCAATAAGGCCACTAAGTCGTATGGGAGTGTCAGAAACTGAGGAAAGAAACGCTATTGAGAAAAGAGAGAACAATAAAGTCCAGGATTCAAGAAGAGAGGAGATAATGATTGACGTCGCATTTGAATTTTTGAGAGAAAAGCAAGAAGCCGGAAGAGAGTTCAACAAGCGTGAAGTGCAGGAGAATAATTTGTTAGCATAGAGCTTGCCTTTACATCTGGCAATTTGAACAGTTAAAGTGTGGGATCTAACCGCCAATCTAGTACTGTGCTTAAATTCAGAAATTTGAGGTGCCAAAGAGGAGAACTTATTGGAACAATTGCCCTGAAAATATTTATAGAAATGTCCTAAGGAAGCTACATAATGGCGGTAAAAGTGATTAAAGCCGAGATGCCAAGTCAGGACTGAAGAAATTACGGTTTCTTCTTTAGATTCTGTGAAGAATCTCTAGATATATAGCAGAAGCACCAAATCAAATGTGTCAGCAATATGCAATGAACAGATAAATATTTGATATAAAACCAAAACTTGAAGGAGGCATTTACTCTATCACTTGTAAGATTTCCAGAAAGAATATATTGGAGAAACCTAAAGAAGTTTAAATAAAATATTATATGAACACAAAAGGGATATTTTAAAATACAACACATTAAACACATTAGTTACGCACCGTCACGAGACTGTCCACAATTTTAAAAATGCTATTCTAATTAAAAACAAAAACAAAAAAAAACAAACAAACAATTCACTTAGACGAAAATGTAATAATAAAAATAAAAATATTTTAAAAATATTTTCAGTTATAATAAAAATATTTTAAAATCGCTAGTGTCAGTGAATTATATTTATGCTTTAATATCATTTTTATAACAAAAATGCCGTTCGTTTACTTTTAAACACGTAACATGTTATGCAAAAACATGGAGAATTTATGCAGAAGATTTTTTATCAAAAATATTATCAGTTATAATAAAAAAAATATTTTTAAATCGCTACTGTGTCAGTGAATAGTTAGGCGAATGTAAAACATCACAGTTGCTTTTAATTTCGAGAATTAATGTCAAAATGTCGTCACACCTCGAGGATTTTTTTCTGAAATTAGTGTTTCTGGTTAAATATAGAACAAAATTATTGATATCTTTTTAGCCTGTTGTTACATTTACTTCGAATGTCATTTTGTATTTAAATATATTTATTTTCATTTTTGCCTCCTCTCTTGAGAAAGGTGTAAACAAAAATATTTCCTTGAAAACTATGATTTTTCATAGTTTTTCGTATATTTTTTCCAGTTTTTCATCTGTAATTTATTTTCAAATTATTAACAAGATATCATCTAATATTTCTTTAGAAAGGAAATCCTTTTGACATGATTATTCTCAATTCTCAATAATGTTGCACCTAGTGTTTCTAAAATTCTGACTTGCAGTATTTACATTATCACATGTTTTTTAGACAACGTTTAAATTAATATATGTTCCAATATTACTCAGCTGTATCTGACCTTTAAAAGCCACCGAGTACTTTTTTTTCTTCTTTCACCTTTCAACAAATATTTCAAAAGGTCTTCTGAAAAAACCACATGCAACATATATATGGGCAAGTTTAGAGAATTTCAAGCAGAAACTTTGTGTAAAAATAACAAAGATGAAGAAAAGTCTAATCAAGTCACATCTGGTAAATAGCTAAATTACAACGATACATGTGTGATTTCTTCAACACATGATCATTAACCCGAATTATTTGATTATCTTTATATCTTATTCGGATACATACTTTTCGTTTTTTCTAATCCTTATTCGCCAAGTGACGTTATGTGTCCTGTAACCGATTAGGTTCGTAGGAGTACCCCATGTACTGTAGATATAGCAGCAATGGTTTGTCTAGGATAAGATAGCCCAACGAACCCATACATTATCAGATCTTTTTTTCCTTCTCGAGTGGTTGCTCATTAAAATCTACTATTTAATCCATAAGGGAAAAGCGATGAATTTATACATTTTTCTAGGGGTAGAAAATGTCAACAAAATCAGCGTAAATTCGAACTTGAATCACTGATTTCTCTTTTCGATTGCTAACCCTTACAGATAAATCAGCGATCTGATTTCAAATTTTAATTGTTAATTCTAAAAATAACAGTGCTTATCTATCTATGCCCGTCCGTGATTCTTAACATATTTTACTCTGTAACCTGCATCGTTAGGTATAAAATGAAATATCGAAATACCTCTGAAAATTTTAAGAAGTAATAAGTTAAGTTTGAACACAATTCATTTGTCAGCCACAGAATATTCCTCCTCTTCTCACAATTTCAAATTTCTCTCTTGAAATATTCAAAGTGCCCTCTTTTCAGGTATCCATCCAACGCTCGGAATCCCTGATCTAGAATATTTACGAAACTAAAACTTAATAATATCATATTCGTTTTATTAACAAGTAGAAATTGATTCTGTTTATATTTCTGAGATGAGGTATTATGCACACTATTTACATTAATCGGACTATTTTCCTCATATTTGTCGCCATATTTATTACACCGTTTCGGTCGTTGTACGCTCCAGCCTTCTTCAGGTGGTTGGAATGTCAAACTGAAACCTTTATTTCGCTCAGTGGGGTAGACTCTTCTAGTTCCACGTGCCATGTTTAATGGATGTCACTTATCAGTTATCTCCTGTTAATTCACCTCTCCAAGGACACATGACACAGGGGATAAAGGCAGGCGTTGGTTAGATCCAGTGACAGGACCCAAAGATTGTGAGTTCAATACCCGGTTAAGGCAATGGTGAACTTGGAGAGGGGAATTAACAGGAGATAACTGATAACTGACACCCATTACATATGGTACGTGGAACTAGAATAGTCTATCCCAGGGAGCGAAATAAAGCCAACCACCTGAAGAAGGCCGGAGCGTACAACGGCCGAAACGTTGTAATAGCTATGGCGACAAAGATGAGGACAATAGTCTGAATAATATAAATAGTGAACAAATTGATTGTCTCCTTGGTTAAATAGTTATTCTTTAGTGACATTCCCCCAAAATATTGTTTCCATGGTCAGAATTTCATAACATATTTTATGCATTTACGTCCTCTTGATATGGCTCCCTCTATCGTTTCTGCGATCAACTTTGATATTTTCAAATCTATTTTCCTCAGGTGATGTAACATTTGACCGTTTTCTGAATTCACTCGCAAATGTTATTATGAATACAAAACTTCGTTAATAATTAAATACATTGACGATGTACTAACATTTAAACTTCTGTAATACTGTCTTGAGTAATATTATTTTTAGTGCCCATAGGTAAGAGTTATTCAAAAAAGAAAAAAAAATCAAAACCCAGTAAAGGATTAGAGGGAACAGAGATCATGAAAATGCATTGGAAATATATTTTTACACAAGGCAGTTCAACCTCCAGATTCCTTTGTTCTTGACATTTTTATCTGCGAATGTGATTGATGAAGTATTTGAGTCCAAAACAATTCTTTTCACTGGAAAACTTCGTTATATAGTAATACGAGCACCAGTTAATTTTATTTTGGTCTTTCCAAATCACGCAATGATTTCCAAAGGTGTCGGGTCTGATGGCATTATTAAAGTCTTCACAGTTAACTTTTGGCTTTATTGGGAAAGGTTTGTGTTAATGATAATGGAGAGATTATGCGTTTCCATTCAGAAAATATTAGTTATTCATTGACTAAACAGCTAGCATTACTTTCGACTGAAAGGTTAGTTTCCCTAATTGAATAGAGTTAAGATCTTTTCGTAAAGCAATCTCGGGGTCTATAGATGAAGGTAATAATTACGGAAATGTATGTTTTTACTAATTCTTCAATGATGTTCATAAGATCAGTTATCGAAAAAGTCAAGGAAAAAAACAGCTGTTGGGTATTATGATTGTAGTTGTCATTATAACATTGTTGTTCATTTCAAGCATTATCATTTCAGGAGCTGACAAAAAATACATATATTTTTGCGAATTTACAAAAAATACTTTAAACGTTATTTTTGGTGAGCACATGTGTTTGAAATCCCAGTTTTTTTATTATATTAAAAAGCCAACAGTCAAATTAATAACATCAATAAATATACGAGGCTAGAAAATTAAGTACTCAGTTTTTACTGAATTTTAATGTGATTAATTGATTGATTTATTTTTTACATGTTATCAACTTTTTGTAGCTTATTTAAAGCCAGAAAATATTTTAGATTGTAAGAAGTTTTTGAAGATAATAATAATAATACAAGTCCTACTTATTAACTCATATTTGGGGAGAGAAGAGTTGGATTCATGCCTTTCCCAATGGTATTTTCGAATTTGACTCTTCGATTTCCTATTCCGAGCCGTTATCCATTGCATCCCCGGCACATCTAAGCTTACAGTGCCTCGTATTCTCAAACGGTCACCCATTTAGGTACTGACCAGGCTCGATGCTGCTTAACTTCAGTGGTCATACGAGAACTGGTGTTTCAACGGGATATGACGTTAAGCCGGATTGTGGTGTGAAATATACAGTAGGTTTTAGAAGTTGCTTTAAGTGCATTAGCAACGAATGATAGTATGCTGAAAAATAAGTTTCATGTATGAATGTTTTTTATTGTCATGCGAAGGACTTATTGATTTAATTACGTATATATTTGAATAACAAATGGGCAATGCAGCTATAGTAACTATGGGACACTGACATATTTAACATCGTTTGACTACATAATGTTAGAGCTGGAATGGTGGGACACTTTGTCTTCGAGGTGACAACTGTTCTAGGTTTGTCTCGGATAACGGCAGTAAGTCATAAGCACAGCAAGAAAACTATGTGCACCCACAGGTGATGCAAGAATAGAATCGCATTTGCTCTGTTTTATACTACCCATGTTTCCGGTAATGATTTAATCATTTCGCCCCGAGCAAGGTAGCAAATCTAGTAAGACACAGTGGATTACTGAATGTGAAAATATAAGTTTTAAAAAAATACTAAGAAGCTAGAACAATAAAAGAACAGGAATTAAGAAAAAGACAATTGAATTTGGATTTAAATTTTTGAAGATCAAACATGAGTGGAAAGCAAGAAGCCAGTAGAGTTCCACAAACGAGGAATGGGGCGAGAGAAACTGTTAGAATAAAACTTATGGTTACATTTAGACATGTCAGTTATAAAATAATGAGACCTTGCTGCCAACTTAGTTTTGGTCTTTATGTGGTGTGTCCCTTCAGGGTGTAGGTGATCATGGCTCACCACACATTTTTGCCTTTCTGTTATTTCTTCTAAACTCTGTTCTGCCATCCATTTGCTAAAGCTTGCTAAGGATATTATACGTTTTTATCCTCTGTATTTCTTGCCTTCATCCCGTTCTGTGAGTATCAGATTTTCTAAGCTCTCTTTCCTCATTATGTACCCTTGAAATTTCAACTGACTCTTCCTCTTGTTAAGCATAAGGTTCCTTTTGTTTTCATTTTCTCTAAAATTTCACCGTAGTTCACATATTCGGTTTATGATATTCTGATCATCCTCCTGTAGGACCACATTTCTGTTACTTTGTCTCTTCTTCATCTTTGATGCGATTGTCCAGCATGTCTTCTTTCATCAGATAGTTCTACTCACATCGTGGTGACTCAAAACTGGTTCCAGGAAAACTCGGCAGACTTCTATGTACTCCATTGGCACCACGCTAGACTTAAACCCAATGTTGCTTGTATATGACATTTTTCAAACCACAATATACCATCCCCCAACAGATACATTTCAGTTATGAACAAACATACCTAGATAGATATAGATACGTAACAATTCTTGTATATTGTAGACAAGATGCCGCGTCGTTTAACCAATATTATTCCGTCTTGAGGAGCTACACGCTTTAGAGAGCTGTCGCTAAACACTCCAGTTCATATATTTTCTCTTTAGAGCATGATTTTTCTTCCTTTATGAAGAATAGAATTAAAGTCAAACATGTTTTTGGCAATGAGTGTTAAGAATACCATAGACTGAAATTGGAAGCTTTAAAGAAAATAGGAGCTACAAAGAAACCGATACTTGAAAATGAAAAGAGCTTGTATTTCTGAACCACAAAGTGAAGAAAAAAAAAACTTGAGATCCTAAGATTCACAAGATATATCGAAGGCAAGAGAAACGGCCTGAACAGCGAGGAATCTATTTAGACATTGAATGGGTGCCTCTCAAAATAATGATAAAAAGAATTTGTAAAGAGTCAAAAGTTTAAAAAAAAAAAAAAGGCAGAAAAATATGAAGAGTCATGACCGTCCATGTACTAAAATGAAATTACTGAAATTCCAACAATTCTATAGAACTTTTAAATTGTTAAATAAAATAATGAAAATCATAAACCATAACTACTTTCAATTTTCATAGCAACTGCTCTGACGAGCTCTTTTCACTGGTATCCCATCTGCATGAATATAAATATGCTACTAGGTTGGCATCACGATCCCACCCTTTTACTGTCGAAACGGTTAAATGTAGCCGCTTCTTCTACTCCAACAGCTTCTTCTCTCGAACTTCCCGACAGTACAACTCACTCCTTTCCTCTTACTTGCTTCCCTGTTAACTATAATCTTCAAAAGTTTAAATGTGATGTCAATCGACATCTTCTGATGCCTTGATCTTGATCCCCGTCCTTTTCATTATCCTTTCCTCAAACACCTCTTTTTACTCTGACTTTCACTCTCTGTAATCCCTTGCGTGCTAGAAGCACTCCCGCCTAGCTTTGGGTGAAATGTTTAATATATATATATATATATATATATATATATATCATTAATGCATTTCAGCACCGACAGATATATTCTGGCACTTAATATATAAACGCGAGAAAACTTTAATTGACTTCCTTTGGCACTGAACGTGTAAATTTTCGCACCAATTTTTCATTGTGAATTCTAATCAGTTGTCGAAGATACTTACTGTATTTAGATCGTTCATAAGCTCGTGTCGAAAGGAAATTTACAAATTCATCCGTTATATTTTTTTTTCATTTTATAAATAGACAGACGGCACATATGAGAAATTACTGCCCTTTTCTGAAATTGTTAATTATCTATCTGGGTGCGAAAGCTGAACATGTTTTCAATCAGCTAACCTCGAATGAGAGTTGACACTCTTTGAAAACAATGCTCTTTTTATCTCATACTTTATTCACTAAGCACATCGATATTGCAAGAGCTTTTCCTCTCAGATGCACTTAGTGCTGCTCACTTTTACAACAATCGATCACCTTCGCAATGGACAAGGCGACTGACTCATGCAAGCAATAAATTTTCCATCTTTCTCGATTCTTTATTATTTTGTTCTTTATGCACAGTAGTTGAAGATGGAAATCATAATTTGGGGACTAACTTAACTGATAGCAAACTATTTCCTTTTACTGAATATTTAAACCTGTTTTTATCCTTTCATAAAGGCGATAATGTCACTAAGAAGCAAGGGATTACTTGGAGTGAAAGGCAATGCAAAGACTTTAATCAGTAGAAAGGGCAATAAAAGAACAGGTTTCAAGAAGACAGAAGTTGGCGATGGACATTAAATTTAAATTTTTGAAGATTGTAGGTTGTAGGGAAGCCAAAGCTGGAAGAGAGTTTCACAGTCTTACAAAAAATGATCAGAATAGAACTTACGATTACATTAATTCAACAGTAAAAAGAAGGGACCTAATTGCCAATCTAGACGTAAGCTTAAATTCATGGAGTTATGATACCAAAAAAGAGGGCCCATTAAACCAATTTCCATGAAAATATTTATAGAAAAAACAAAAGGAAATCATATTACAGCGGTGGGAGATGCCAGGTCAGGACGTAATACATTACACACTCTTTGGATTTTTGTAGAGAATCCAGAGATAATATAGAGGACAGAAGATATGGCAGCAATCAGCAACTAATACACAAATGGTAGATTTATAAACATACAAGATGAATTCTGACACAAAAGTTTGTCTGGCACAACACAATGAAACAACTTTAACCTTAAACCTTTAAATAATGCAATTATATATCGAGCTAAGATAATTGAAATTAGGTGTAAGTCGAAGCTAAATTATTAGTAGCCTGTTCTAACAGTTATTAAGATTCCCTGATAGAGAGTCTGACTTTTGTAGCCTTGGGCCAAACTAGTTAATCTAAATATTGAAACAGTTGCCCAACAGAAAGGAAAAATCAGCAGTTTTAGTTTATTTCTTTACAAACAGCCCGATTTTTACGGCGTTATGCGAAACTAGCTAATCTCAATAAATAACAAAATGATTATCGGTCGGAAGACAAAAGTCAATGGCTTGATCTCGGAGAACATAGAGAATGACTTCGATCCATTCATCTCTATCCTATCTACTTACGCACCTGCTGTGGAGCAATACGCTTTCAGGTCATTGGTAGTGAATTCAAATTGCACAAGGTGCTTTATCATAGCCTTATGTTATACTATGTTGTATCCTCAAAGAGGATACAAACAGATAAAGGTGGTACTCGAATGAAGGAACAGCAACACACACGTAGATGAAAGTGAAGTTTATTGTAAAGAAGAATACACTACTGAAAGACAGGGAATCGGGTGGCAGGCTAGTAATTCCCGAACCAACTGCCCGACGCGGTCAGATGTGACACAAAGCCGAATTTAAGGTGGGGTATCCGAACCCGTAGACTCTGGCAAAAATTGCCTGTAGACCCCGTAAAAAAACAGGGTCGGGTAGCTGTCTACCTCCCCAGACGAGACTCTGCCCTTCGGCATAGCTTCACCTGGATTTCTCTCCGCCTGAAGGCAGAGAGTTCGACTAGCTTAGCTGGAGACGAATCTCTAACTAATTGCCAAAACAAGGATATTTGCTAACTGCACCGCGCGGTCAGATGCGACACAACGCCGCATTTAACGTGGGATATCCGAGCACGTGTGCTCGGGCAAAAATTCATCGTAGACCCCGTAAAAACGGGGTCGGATAGCTGTCTACCTCCCCAGACGAGACTCTGCCCTTACTAAGGCACAAAAATGGAAAGAGGGCTTGGAAAAAGGTTACACTGAAGGCCAGAGGAAAGTTGTGAATAACCTACGTAAAGTGCTTATATAAATATTTGGCAGAGCAGGCACTAGGAGGGATAACAAAAATGCAAACATAACTAATAGCTAGAAATGACAGGAAGTTGTTGAGAGCCATATTACCCACGCCCTGAAAGGACACAGCGCATAGCAGAAGGAGGTAAAACTCAAGATGAAAACTGATATTTGAAATCCTGTGCTCCAATATTTATTTATTTACAACATTCTTAATACAACATGAGAATCGTCTGCCAAATAACCCATGACTGTCTTAAATTTCAGAAATGCTTAAAAATAAATTAAATTATTATTTTTTTTTAAATTAATGGTTTATAACAAAAATTATTAATCGGCATTTTCATTGTGTTTACCTTTTATTTATAATTAGGAATATTCCAACTATTTCGTGACAAATCTAACACACTAAAAGCTACAGCGATTAAA